ATTTTAAAAATTACTCCAAAATTCACTTGAGGATGAAATGGAACTAATTTAATTACAAAATTAAATTCGTAGCTTTTAGCTTCCATTTTTGAAACATGGTTAGACCTGTGTAGCGAAAAAAAAACATATTTTAAAGAGATCAATTTATAATATATATGTATGTATATACTTAATAAACCTGGAGATTATATGTATCCGCTACCTTGGTTATAAGCTTAGGTATTATCAGCCGATTATCAAATGACCTCTTAAAAAGCGTTAAGACGTCATTTGATAAAATCTCCTGAGGATGCCGTAATGTTGAAACCAGGGTAGTGGATTCAACTGATCTCCTGATTTTTAAAGTTAAAAGGTCTATATATTATTTTTACTTTTAATTAATTAATTAATTTTTTTTTTGATTGATTGATTTGTTCTTACGACTTACCAACCTAATAATAATGATAGATTGATTTTTTTTCTTGCTTTTGATTGGTTCGCAATAAACTCAACGGTTGATCTTATTTTTCGTTTACTAATAAATCAAGTTCCGCAGAAACATTTTCGCTTTGAGCTCTGGCTTCCAAAGAACAATTTATTTTTGTTTTGGTTAACGTTACTTTTTATCAGTTTATCTTTTCCTTTCGCGTGAACGCAAGGAAGCAAGAATTATATTGTCTGGGACCTCATCATTAGCTACAGCGTAATCATTTTTACCCTTCCCCTCCGGTCGACGACACAAGTTGACTGTCCTAAGCGTCTTGCGATCATGCTTATTGTCTCTATCCATTCGCCTCACGTCCACCGAGGGAACAAATGACTCTGCTGACTCGGTGATAACTCATCTGCCATCGCGAAGCTTGTGTGAATTCACGCCTTTCGACAGCGGGTTTTCCTGCTCAGTCAGGTCATTGGAGACGCGTGCCAGTCGTGTGTTTTTCAGCGAATCTGGCCAATTTTTTTCGATGCTTCACTGACCAACGGCCCACGGAAAGCGAACCGCGGGAAATGTAAAAGCGAATGTTATACCCAAATGCCTCGAGTGATTGGAATGGTGGCACGCCTGCAGAACATTAAGGCATTCACGCTGAGGACATCAGAAAAGTTAACTTCGTTTTTGACCTTAACTGACAAGCGTCTATTCGACAAAATTTGTATTTAATTAATGAGATAGATAGATAGATAGATAGATAGATAGATAGATAGATAGATAGATAGGTGAACATACTGAGATAGATAGATAGAAACAGACTGAGATAGATAGATAGATAGATAGATAGAAAGAAACAGACTGAGATAGATAGATAGATAGATAGATAGATAGATAGATAGATAGATACTGAGTGTTGAGATGTTGAGTGTTTCCCCGTGCGTGTATTGAAATAAGGACAAACACATACGTAGGGAAAAATACTGGTATATCTGAAGAGGTATTTACAACAGAGAGATTAGTAGTCAAACGAACGCAGGTTAGTCAGTAACAATCAGAAAGAGTATAAAGTCCAACTGTATCTTCCGGTAGAGAGACGGAAGTGTGATGGTCACCTGATCTCCCAGAAGTCTATAGAACTGTCCTATTAGTAGTAGAGAGATCAGTCCATTCTGATGAGAAGGTGGGTGGCCCCAACACTGAGATAGATAGATAGATAGATAGATAGATAGATAGATAGATAGATAGATAGATAGATAGATAGATAGATAGATAGATAGATAGATAGATAGATAGATAGATACACACACACACCCTTGGGCAAATTAATTACAGTAACCGCTTTAGTTTCCTTTCTTTCACCATGCGGTCAGTTTTAGACCCACTGGTGTGACAGGGTGTAATCTATTTCTATTTTTTTCCTCAGATTAGGTCATTTGCAGTGATATGAATCTATTTTCATGTATAGTTTCTCTGATATACTTATAAGGTATTTACAAAAGCACTATAACACCCTTGTAGAAATTAATTGAAACAACGGCTTTAGTTTCCATTCTTTCACGATACGGTCAATTTTAGACCCCCTGGTGTGACAGGGTGTAATTGATTTCTATTTTTTACCTCAGATTAGATCATTTGCAGTGGTGTGCAGTAATATTAATCCATTTTCGCAGTGTATGATGAAATTTGTTTGGCCTTGAAAAACATTGTGTCAGCTGTGATTGCATTAGATTTTCATTACATCCAGACACTATTGTCTCGACTGTCGATTAGTTGTCCTACCACCATTGTATGCGATGGACGTAGAGTACGAAAATTGTGACGCTGCACGAACATAATGGAAAGCCTTATCAGTAAGCAAAACAAAATACTGTAAGCTGACCCGGAAACTCTCCCGATTTAAATCCAATCGAGAATCTATGGTCAATCTGCAAGGAACGACTTCGTGGACTGGGCTTACGAAGTTTTAACATGTGCACTGGGTAATGTTTCATTGAAAAAAAGGTAAATAATAACAGAATTATTTGTTTTGTTTCAATTAATTTGCACAAGGGTGTAGACAGATACATCTCAAATACTAAGATAGTTATGAATAGACCGAGATAGATAGATAGATAGATAGATAGATAGCATTATTGTTAGTGGATACCCGTGTTTGAAATAGACGCCCCATTTTTATTTTAAACAGTGAATAATCCGTCTAACGGTCTGCGCACTCGAGAAAAACAAGCTCTCCAGCATGGTTCAAACCTGCACTCCGCTTTTTAGGAAAATACACCGTCTGATCCGGTTTCATTTAGATCTCTTGGTTACAGTGAACGCCAGAATCTAGTAAGGTTCAATTTTCTCATTTAAAAAATGCATACTCCCTCCTTCTGAAAGCCTATATCTTTTCAGTTTCATATCCGAAACGTAAGCAAAGCAATTTCTAAAAAATAATTTAAAAAAAATGGTTTTATACATTATATTTTAGTGGATACCCATGTTTGAAATAGACGCCCCGTTTTCTTATTCTAAACAGTGCGTGTATTCCCTGATAGCTATAATCTTCAAATATTCAAATGCAATGTCAATCGATATCTTCTGATGTCTTGATCCTGATCCACGTCCTTCTCTATATCCTTAACTCAAACACCCCTCTTTACTCTTGTTCTCACTGTCTGTAACTCCTTACGTGCTAATGGTACTTGCCTTGTACAAAATGAAATATATTATATATATATATATATATATATATATATATATATATATATATATATATATATAAATACGAAAAAAACGTGCAATCAATTTACAAATTCAGAAATTTATATAAACAAGGATCTTTTCATTCATAACGGATTAGGAGGTTTTTGTATATTATTTGAATTGTTTGCGATGATAAATTTCTCGCCAATTAAATCATTAACCTTTGCATTAGTTTTTGTGTGAATAATTCATGAATATATATATATATATATATATATATATATATATATATATATATATATATATATATTATAAATTAATTGATTTAAAATATGTTTTTTTTCCGCTACACAGTTCTAACCATGTTTCAAAAATGGAAGCTAAAAGCCACGAATTTAATTTTGCAATTAAATTAAAGACATTAGTTCCATTTCAACCTCAAGTGAATTTTGGAGTAACTTTTAAAATTACTGGGTTTTAAAGACACAGCTAAAATCACGTTTCCATGGTTACAGATAAATCTACTTCAATTGGACAAGGGTTGTCTGGGTTTTATATATATTTGCTTCACTGATAGCTATAATCTTCAAATGTTCAAATGTAATATCCATCGACATCTTCTGATGCCTTCATCCTCATCCCCGTTCTTCTCTATATCTCCTTAATCTTTACTCTTGCTCTCAACCACTGTAACCCCTTTTACTCCAATAGCGCCAGTTTCGCACTTGCTGTCTTTGGAACTCCCTTCCTCTTAATTGCTTCCCTGATAGCTATAATCTCCAAATATTTAAATTGCAATCGACATCTCCAGATGATTTGATCTAAACCCCGTCATTCTCTGCATCCTTTCCTCTACCACGCCTCTTTGCTCTTGCTGGCACTCTCCGTAACCCCATACGTGCTAGTGGCCTTCCCGCCTTCCTCGGGGTGAAATGATTAAAGAAAAAAAAATCCGGGAATGGGCCTGCTCTCTGTCTCGAGAAATCTTTATAAAGAAAGCATGCTCTCCTGCGTCTTCTGTTTTTAGGCTAAACAATCATCTTTTCCGGCGAGGTTTAGACCGCTCGGCCACAGGAGACCGTCAGAATTCAGTAAGATTCTGTATTCCCTTTTAAGGAATGCACAAACTTCGTTCAACTTTTTCTCTCTCTCTCGTATCCGAAATGAGTGTATTAAAGTACTGTTCGAAAAGATTATCTAAATTAAGCAACGTTGAGCATGGTCAGTACTGTGATGGTCAGTAAGTTTAGCGGGTAGGAGAACAATTACAGAATTTGGCCTATCTGTCCTGTCACCCTGAAAAGGGGTGGGGAATGGCATTCTGATAAATGGTGGAAGGGGTGCATAGGGTAAGCAAGGCTGAGAAACCCTGAGCTATATTTTAACTCGATCCAAATAATATTTAATCCATATCAAGGGAAAAGAGATGGATTTACGCGTAAGTGAATGCGACGAATGAGAATCAAATTCGAACTCTGGTCTTCGATTTTTTATTGTGGTCCGTTAACACGACACATCCATCCAGGATTTTCGTATGCGAAAACTTATAAAGTAATCCAGTGTTTGAGTTTTGAAAAGTTAGACACCCCACCCACAAAAAAAAAAAAACTGATTTCGAAGAAAAGGATACCATTCGTCACATCATTCAAGATTTTTTTTTTTTTTTTTTGGCTCCAGGTTCAGTGACTCGAAATGTTATTCGTGTCGACATTTTGAAGATTAGACACGGTGATCGACTCTAACTTTTGACGACAGCAGGTGGAGGCTGAACTCACGAAAGAGCAAACGAAGTTCTTGCCTATAAACTTGAAAAGACAAAGAAATATCAATAATTTAAAACAGTCACGCTTCGATATACTCATCAAAGCTAGAGGACGTGAGTTTTGGATTCAACCAATGTATAATGCGCTGTTCTGTCTCTCGCAGTCTCTTTGTGTGTATTAACGTTCTTTGTAAAAATATTGTCGTAAATTTATTCCTCTCCCACTCTCTCTGTCTCTCTCTCTCACTCTCTCTCTCTCTTTCTCTCTCTCTCTCTCTCTCTCTACACATATATATATATATATATATATATATATATATATATATATATATATATAGCTTTCACGGTTAAATTTCTATTACTTACACGAACTCAGTCCATACTGGGGTCGATAAGGAAGATGAGCTGTATTTTCGTCTGGCGAAATAGGCTATTCCCCATATGAGGTGATTTTGGGGGATTTTTATTGTTTTATTAAGTATTTGCTCTGTACCAATATATACATTGAGCTCTTTGTGTGGATCAGTTTTAATATTTTATATTACTAGAATCCACTTGGATTATATACCTTTATTATATATATATATATATATATATATATATATATATATATATATATATATATATATATATGAATTCCCGGAAATCCACTTGAGCTCTGTTGAAAAAAGTGTAATTCAAAAAAACAAAAAAAAAAACAGTGGCTCATACCGCTATTAAAGCATTGCTCTTCAATCGAATTCAATTGAGCTCTCCGGGCCACTGACGTATTTCGCATAGAAAACGTTAAAATTTCCCTTCATCTCTGCCGTGTGACTATAGCCTAGGGGTAGAATCTCTGTCTGGTTCTAAATTTGCCGTGTTTCGATCCCGGCTTGATGCAATCAGACGTCTAGCTAAACTGGTAGAGGCGTGATGCAGCGAAAGAGTCTGTCTGTGGAAGACAACACACTATTTGGACAATTTTGGTGTTACACTGTGTGTGTATATATATATATATATATTCTTTAAAAAATTAAAATCTTTAGACACACTGGGTTGTAGATTAATATTCTTTCGTTTTTTTTAATTAATATTCCATTTAGATTCCTCGACTAGTTTCGACCAAAATGGCCATCAATCGGGAGGAGAAATATTTCTGCTTGCTGTTAGCACTAAACTACAGAAATATATAAATATATATATATATATATATATATATATATTTATATATTTATATTTCAACCTTATTCAAGATGATCTCGCCTTCTCTAAACTTTTTACTTTCTGTCCTGGTATAACAAGTTGCTTCACATTTTCACATACGTTTTAATTATTATTTGTCTTCCTATACTATTTAGAACAATTTTGCTGTTACACCCAATATAATATTATATATATATATATATATATATATATATATATATATATATTGGGTGTATAATATATATATATATATATATATATATATATATATATATATAGAGAGAGAGAGAGAGAGAGAGAGAGAGAGAGCCTAGATTTTAGCATTCCTTTCACATCTATAAGTAGTGAGAATATTTTTTCTGAATTTGAAGTATTGTATGCTCAACTCTTGAAACTTCAACCGGTGTCTGATGATAAATCCAGTGACTTTCGAGATAAATTGAATGATTTGGCTCATTCTTATGCTAGTTCTCCTATTTCTTTCTCTGAATCGAAATGGAGAAGTGAACACCATAAGGTTATTAGATCCCTTAACAATAACCATTCTTTGGTTATTACGAAACCGGATAAGGGATCTGGTGTTGTCCTCATGGACCGCCATGACTACATTAACAAAATGTTAAGTATATTGAATGACCCTTCCAAGTTTCAACGTCTTGGTTCCATTGACACTCATGATTCTACATTGACTTCTGAAATTCGATTTCAGAAACGTCTTGTCAAATGGGTAAAAAGTGGTGTTCTTTCTTCTGAAATGGCGGAGCAATTGAGACCACTTGGCTCTATCGTCCCCGTCTTTATGGGTTACCCAAGATTCATAAGAAGGGTGTCCCGTTGAGACCCATATTATCGATGATTGGGTCTTCACAGCATAAATTCACAAAGTGGCTTGCTATATTCTTGCAACCAGTGTTGCAGCATTACAGTTCCTTTTGTATTACAGATTCGTTTTCTTTTTCCAAATTCATTCGGAATTGTGATGCCACTGATGGATTTATGTGTTCCTTTGACATCTGTAGCCTCTTCACTTGTGTTCCTTTATCGGAGACTATTGATATTTGCAGCGATATGTTATATCGTAGCGATTTGACTCCTCCGAATATACCGGAAGAAGTGTTCGTTGAACTCATGAAATTTGCCACTATATTTGTCGATTTTAGTTTCGACAATATCATGTATCGTCAGATCGATGGTGTAGCGATGGGTTTCCCTTTGGGTCCTGTGTTGGCAAATATTTTTGTGGGTTTTTATGAAGAAAGCCTTTTGTTAAGTTCTGCCCGACCCAAGGTTTACTTTCGGTATGTGGATGACACTTTTTGTGTGTTCAGCCATAAATCGGAAGTGGATCAATTTTTTTCCCTACTCAATGGTGTTCATCCTGCCTTTAAATTTACAGTAGATAAGGAGGTCAATGGTTCATTGCCCTTTTTAGATGTTCTTGTTCAAAGAACTCCTTCCTTGTTTATTACCTCTGTGTACAGGAAGTCTACTTTTACAGGACTATATACTCGATGGGACTCCTTTTGTCCTAAACAACAAAAGATTAATTTGATTAGGACCCTGACACATAGGGCGTTAATGATTTGTTCGGGTGACACCTTGAAACATGAAATCAGTTGTTTAACTGAGATCTTTGTGAACAATGGTTATCCGTTGAACATTGTTCAATCGGTTATTCGAGATGAGACCGCCAGGTTCAACAAAATCAAACCTGCTTCAGTGGGTAAATGTCCGGTCTATCTTCGTTTACCGTGGTTGGGTAAGATTAGTGAATCCTTCGCCAAGCGTATTTCATGTAGTTCACGTGAGTGTTATTTTGCAGCGAACGTTCGTGTTGTCTTTCAAACTAAGTCCGTACTTTCATCTATGTGTAAAGATGTTCTACCCCCCCCCCCCCAATATTAACTCTGTTATTTACTATTTCAAATGTAGTTGTGGATGCGACTACATAGGTAGAACGACATATAATACTGAATAAAAAAAAAATGACTTTGGGCGATACTATTCGTAACACGTATGGCTCTTCGATTGCGGATCATTTTATAAAGAATCCCACTTATGCGATGGATTTCAGTGTGAACTGGTTTTCCGTTTAGGCCTGTTCGCACTCATTATTCCATCTTAAGGTGTTGGAGACGCTGTACAACAGGTCCAGGCGACCTGCTCTTTGCAAACAAAGAGATTGTTTGCTTGGACTTGCTGTACTGCGCAGCTTGGTTGGTATAATTTTTTTTTCCTTCCCTGCCCATTCATTCATGACAGACTTTTTTCTTTTCCTCATAATCTTAATTCCCCGTTAACAGTTCTGATGAGAGGGGACGAAACCGGTCGACTGGTGTGTGTTTTATTTTAAACTTATCATGGCCTACAATACAAAATTTCTAGTTTTTAATGCCTTAATACGCTTTTGTACCGTTTCAAACCTATTTAAGTATATATATATATATATATATATATAATATAATGAAATGGACAAAGTCCGACAATTATTTTAAAACACTTTTTTATGTTTATACGTTTTTTTATAGATACAAATATTTAAGTAAATGCTCTGTTTATAATAAACAGTATTGACGACATTTAGCGGCCCAAATGTCCGAGAAATTTTCCTCCAACAGGAATCGAACCTGCATCCTATACGGAACCGTCATATAGCCTGACGCGCTTTACTGATTTAGCCACAGTGGAGCGCTTCGGTTAGTAATTGTAGTTTAAAGCACTAAAATCGACCTTGCTGGGTAATGGTAATCTTAGGGCTGAAAAATTTTAAATTTTGGTTCCCACCGCCTGGAAAAAGAATTGGAAGCCATATAAGAAACAGTTAAATTGATTCAGTATCCTAGGTTAATTACATACAAGAGGATTTGAAACTTACTAATTATTAAATTCAGAGGGTTACCTAAGATTTTGGCCAATATTATCTCGCTCTCTTTCTCTTTCGTCCTTTCTACTTTATCCCTACGTTCTTTCTTTCCTTCTTTCTTCCTTTTTTCTTTGTCCCTACGTTCTTTCTATTTTCCTTTCTTCTTTATATATACGTTCTTTCTTTACTTATTTCTTCATTTGTTTTTTATCCGTGTGTTCTTTCTTTTTTTCTTTCTTTCTTTCTCCCTACGTACTTTCTTTACTTCTTTCTTCTTTTTTCCTACATTCTTTCTTTCTTTCTTTCTTCTTTCTTTTTCTTTATCCCTACGTTCTTTCTTTCCTTCTTTCTTTTCTTCTTCTTTATCCCTAAGTTCTTTCTTTCCTTCTTTCTTTCTTTCATCTTTATCCCTACGTACTTTCTTTCCTTCTTTCTTCCTTTCTTTTTTATCCGTGCGTTCTTTGTTTGTTTGTTTCTTTCTTTGTTTCTTTATCCCTACGTAATTCTTTCCTTCTTTCTTCCTTTTTTCTTTGGCCCTACGTTCTTTCTCTCTTCCTTTCTTCTTTATCCCTACTTTCTTTCTTTCCATCTTTCTTCCTTTCTTTCTTATCCGTGCCTTCTTTCTTTCTTTCTTTCTTTCTTTCTTTCTTTATTTATTTATTTCTTAACCCCTAAGTTCTTTCTTTCCATCTTTCTTTTTTTCTTTTTTATCCGTTTGTTCTTTCTTTCTTTCTTTCTTTCTTTCTTTCTTAACCCCTAAGTTCTTTCTTTCCATCTTTCTTTCTTTCTTTTTTATCCGTTTGTTCTTTCTTTCTTTCTTTCTTTATTTCTTTCTTTCTTAACCCCTAAGTTCTTTCTTTCCATCTTTCTTTCTTTCTTTTTTATCCGTTTGTTCTTTCTTTCTTTATTTATTTATTTCTTTATTTCTTTCTTTCTTAACCCCTAAGTTCTTTCTTTCCATCTTTCTTTCTTTCTTTTTTATCCGTTTTTTCTTTCTTTCTTTCTTTCTTTCTTTCTTTCTTTCTTTCTTTCTTTACCCCTAAGTTCTTTCTTTCCATCTTTCTTCCCTTCTTTTTTATCCGTTTGTTCTTTCTTTCTTTCTTTCTTTCTTTCTTTCTTTCTTTCTTTCTTTCTTTCTTTCTACGTACTTTCTTTACTTCTTTCTTCCTTTCTTCTTTATTTCTACGTTCTTTCTTTCTTTTCTTCTTTCTTCCTTTCTTCTTGTTTCTTTCCCACATTATTTCCTTTTTTCCTTCGTACCTTTCTTTATATTCCTTCCTTCATTCATTCTACTCTTGTCCTTCTCTCCCAATTTCTCCTTTTCTATTTTCGATCCCATTCATAATCTCTTGACAGAAAGCGCTATCTTCCATTATGAGAGATTCTCCCTTTCAATTCGTGGCGACTATCTAATTTCCAGACGATATCCTCTTCTTCCATCAACAACCCTCTTAACACACACTCAGTGATTAACACTCTCCAGCTGATTGCACTGTTGTACACATAAGCGTAAGATTCAGTTTGAACCAACCGGAAATTGACCAGATTGCACTTCAGAACTGCCGTTGTTATCTCCTGGCCGCCATCTTGGACATTTTCTGTCATCACTCAAGAAACGCAGCCCTTATGCTAAACCTAATTTTCTTTCGCTTATTCTTCCACGCTAATTTATTCCATCTCTCATTCGTAATTCGTGCTTGCTTGCATTTTTTCATCCACCTCGTGTGATTTCTTGTAATGTTACGTGTTTTTCGTGGTTGAATTCTCAATTATTTACGACTTTAGTCAATTTTTTTTTCAAGGATTATTTTTCATCTTCCGGTTGTTTATTTTTTTTGAAAATCTATATTTTTTTTCCTTTAAAGGGTATACAATTTGTGCACGTATTGTTATGCTTTGTCTTCTATGTCCCTTCAGGACGTAGGTAATGATGGCTCTCCACGACTTCCTATCCTCTGTAACGTTTTTCTTTTCACTATCCCTCTGTTCTGCGATATATTTACAGATGTTCATTAGGTAAGTTACTTGCTGCCCCTCTTGCATTCAATATCTCCTGCGTGTGTCCAGTTCTCTAAGTACTTTTTCCTCGTCATGTGTCGAAGAAGTTTCACGTATAACACGCTTATTCTAATTAAAAGACTTGTTTTTTTTCCATTTATTTTCAAACTTCCACGTTAATCACATGCTCAGTATATAGTATTCTCGACATATTTTTTAAAGGAAGTTTATTTTGTCTTAAATAACTTCTTCATCTGTGACGAGATGGCCCAGCATCCATTACCACACACACACACACACACACATATATATATATATACATAAACAGAGCATTTAAATATCTGTATGTATAAATATCACGTATAAACAGAAAATACATTAAAATATTTGTTGGACTTAGTCCATTCCATAATATATGATATCATTTGTTTACGTTAAGATACGCTTCGAGCATGTATGAGCTTTCGGGAGAAATCCTGAGAAACTTGTACAAAATATTTGTATAAAAGTTTGTCTGCTGCCTGAATACACAATAATATATATATATATATATATATATATATAATATGAATTTTTATTTATGAATATATATATATATATATATATATATATATATATATATATATATATATATACACATATATATATATATATATATATATATATATATATATATATATATATATATGCACACACACACATATATATATATATATATATATATATATATATATTTTCAATTTTTCATACATCTATTCTTTCAAAACTGTTCTTGATATATAAAATTTATATAAAAATGTTTTTCACACACACACACACATTTATATATATATACAGAGAGAGAGAGAGAGAGGGTGCATATGTACATGTACACACACACACACACACACACACACATATATATATATATATATATATATATATATATATATATATATATATATATATATATATATTTCATTGAATACGGCCGACAAGGGAGATTATACAACACCATATTTCGGCTGTAATTACCGAAAAGCATGTAAGCTTTATAATATATTACAGAAAATGGAAGACCTAAAAAACTTGTGGTTACTAATCAAATAACCCCATTAAGTCTAAACTAGCGACGACAAGTATAGTGTATTATTTTCAATGCCCAATGACTGTGTTTTTTGTCACAAATCTAATACCTATGTCGGACACACTACTACCTCCTTGAGTAGACATCTTACGTATCTAACCATTATGCAATAAAACAAAAGCATCTATTAATTCCTAATCCACAAGACCTATTAATGAAAAATATATACATATGCATACATAGAATTTTAAAGAGAGAAGTTAAATTACGGTTTAAGCAGTGAGATGCAGACAAATAAGAATTATTGTCAGTTGCATAAATCGACTAAAAAAAAAAAACAAAAAAACATACAACGGAAAAGCATGGATACGTTTGTGGTGATATGAGATACAAAGAAGGAGGGAAAAGGAAAAATCATTAGTCGATCCAAATTTAACGTCCGGCTAATTTACGATGCCGATGTATATATGAAAATTTGTCGTCTCATTTGCATTTACTCAACTTTGGTTTCCCGGGTTGAATCTTTTCCAGCTGTGGTCAAACTCTCTAACTCCAGGCAAGAGAGGATCCCCAGACGTGGCTATGTGGAAGGGCAGAGTCTCGTCTCGGGAAAGAGCTATCCGACACCGTTTTATACGGGGAATTTTTGGGATTTCCCCACATTAAACTCGGCCTTGTGCTACATCTTACCTCGTGGGGAGGTTTGTAAATATATCAATATGTAATCAATTTTCTCTTACCGATTAAATAGGTCAATGTCTGGCCCCTCCTTCCTCAATACTAAGTATGATAGAAAGAAATATTAAAATAAACCCTCTCTAAACTCGACCATGTCTCTCACACCACACCTCGCTACCATCTCTGTTAAATTACATAAACTTAATACTACCCGTCAAAAGTGTAAATTTTCATTTCATTTTTCGTTTCACCTTTTGGAAGTGATGTCTGATGATCCGGGGTTCTTTAAAAGGTCTCTGGTGAATTAAAGTATTACAATGGATCCTTAAAGTGGTCTGTTTGTCTTTAAATTATTAGCTCTGAATTTACATTGAGCTCTCAGGATTTCATCCTCCTTGGGACTACCCATACGGATTACCAAGTTTTTCGTAACTTAACTATATATATATATATATATATATATATATATATATATATATATATATAAATAAATTCCCAAGTGTATAGAATCCAGGTTACAAATTAAATTCGAAGATTTTAGCTTCCATTTTTTGAAACATGGTTAGAACTGTATAGCGAAAAAACATTTAAATCAATTCATTTATAATATATATATATATATATATATATATATATATATATATATATATATATATATATATGAAAGGCTCAAACACTAATATTCCATGGTTATAATTTATTACATTGGAATCGTAATCACGATCAATTCATCAGACCTACAAATTTAAAAAAAGAAATCGGAAACTATAATTCCGGGTATAAAAAACAAACTTTTTTTTGAATTTGTCATCCCCACCTTCACCGTTAGGCCTTCCTATTCTTCTTTCTTCTATTTCACCTGACTCTCTAGCTTTCCATAACATTTCATTGAAACACAAATTTTTCCCCCTCCATATAATATACGCATATATATATATATATATATATATATATATATATATATATATATATAAATTAACTGATTTAAAATATTTTTTTTTTCGCTACACATTTCTAACCATGTTTCAAAAATGAAGCTAAAATCTTCGAATTTAATTTTTTAATTGTAATTAATTCCATTTCATCCTCATTCAATTTTTATATACTTTTATAATATATATATATAAATTCACTATATATGGAATATATATATCTTATAATATTAATATCATATAAAAAAATTATCAACTTCCATTTATATTTATAATCAATTTTATAATTTCCATATTAATAATTAGTTAATTTATTTTAAAATGCTCTGTAAATTTACATTGAGCACTATTTTATAAAAATAAAATATCTATAAGAACACGGATTATATATATCTTACTGTTCTGGCAAATTTGATTTATATATATATATATATATATATATATATATATATATATATATATATATATATGAAAAAATATCTGGAAAAACAAACAAAAATCCTTAGTATGCAATTTTTGAAAACATTTTTTAATATTCATATTAAAACAACATAATCACATTCCAAACTTTGAAAATTTTTTTTAAATATTTTTCTTCATTCTATCAAATTTATATCCATTTATATTTGCTTATATATATATATATATATATATATATATATATATATATGACCACTAATATTATCTCTCTCTCTCTATTTATATATATACATACACATATATGTGTTTGTGTCTGTGTGCGTCACAATCTCACCCAAGAATAAACAAAGAGCTAGATCAGAAATAAATGCATTTTACTCGTGTTAATTTTATATTTGAATGAAGAGTTGGACAAAACTATTAGACAATATCGTGTAATCGCCATAGGTGATGCAAATAATTACGAAATAGTAGATTTATTTCAATTTGTTGAAAGATATTCTCTCTTGGGGAATATCGAACCATAACATTAGTGAATTAAAAATGTATCTGCCAGAAGAAGAAAAAAATGAAAAAAAAAAGACAGACAGGTTTAAACAAACAAATACAAACAAAACAGCCGACATCAAATTACGAAAAAAGCTATTAATGTTTCAATATGTCATTACGATTTGTAAATAAAATAAAAAAAATAAACAGCCATTAATTGATAGAATTACCTCCCTTAGTTGAAATCTAACTCTCTCACATTTTTTGGTTTCATGATAACGTAAGATTCATCATAATTCAAAAACAAGTAAATAAATACTAAATAATGTACTATTGTTAGTTTATTTTTTAAATGTGATATTTACGACTTTTACTTCTAATTATCTGATGTTATTTTTTTCTTCTTGATGAGTTTTCTTTATTTTAAATTCTTTTTTTATTTTTATTTTTTAAATTTAAAGCATCTTCGTTTCATTTAAAAATCTATTTAATTCACTCAGGTATTTTTCTTTGTTTTTTTGTTTGTTTGTTTGTTTGTTTGTTTTTTGACATTTTCAATATTGATCTATGCCTCTATTACGTTTCTGAAGGCGTAACACGTTTTAATGACTAAACTGAGAAAATATCAACCTGAAAGGGAGAATTTTGTATTTCGTTTGTAGTGACTGGTTCATTTTTACATTTACTTTTTTTGTGTGATTAACAGATTTTTTTTAAAAGTGTCCACTATCAGACATATCTATTTCAATAAAATTAGAAACAGCGATACAGATAAAAGGACGTCAGGATATATTTTTTAAATTTATTATCTGTATAATATAACCTCTATCATTTTTGTCTTTTAACGAACGCAGCTAAAATATTGTTTAAAATTGACTATGTTTATCGGGGGAGAGTAACCAATATTGGAGTTAGCGTATGCTGAAATTATTGATTGTTTTTTACAGTTTATCAACCTTTTCTATGTTATGTAAAGGCAGAATCTTTCCCAAGCGTATTTGCGCGAAAATATATATAACGAACCCGGCTGGAATTAGAACTCGGCTCTGCGATTTCTAGTTCCGAGCCGTTTATCCATTATACACCACCTGCACAACCAAGATTTCAGCACCTGTTTTCCCAAGCGGTCACCCAGATAAATACTGACCAGATTCGACGTTACTTAACTTCGGTGAACGTACAAGAACCGGTGCTTCAGTGTGATATGGCTGTGAGACTGGCATGTTGTCAGGAGATACCGAAAATATTAATCTGCCCGACTGCTACAAGATCTAAAGAAAGCCTCGCCAAATATATAGGAATCATAGAAGACTCTTGACAACAAAGAAGCTACTAAAAGAAAACATCATTTAACAATATACGAATGGCACAACCCTTTCAGAAAACATACGGATCTCAATAAAAATAAATGCATCAAGCGTACAAAGGAAAATAAGAAAAAATCACCAAATTATAACAGCACCTCAAAACACTGGAATCTTTGCTCGGAGAAAGAAAAAAATACTCTTTCTAGCAGAAGATAAATTCCAAAAGAGTATATTATTCCAAAAGAAAATATTATTCCAAATGAAAACACATTCTTGCTACGCTCTTAGGAAGCATATCAGTAACTAAAAGACAAAATGAATTCCCACACGCTAAAGATAATTAACTTTATTTTAAATACCATAATTTAGAAAGAAAAAGACACAAAACAAATAAATAATAAATGAAAATATAAGGAATAAATAAACTTAATTTCATCGTCTGTCTATATTTCTGAGATGAGGTATTGTAACTATTTACACTATTTACATTGTTCGGACTCTTTTCCACATCTTTGCTGTCATATTCACGGCGTTTCAGCCGTTGTAAGCCCCGGTCTTCTTCAGGATCTGTCTATATTTCTGAGATGAAGTATTGTAACTATTTACACTATTTACACTGTTCGGACTCTTTTCCTCATCTTTGCTGTCATATTCACGGCGTTTCAGCCGTTTTAAGCCCCGGTCTTCTTCAGCATCTGTCTATATTTCTGAGATGAAGTATTATAACTATTTACACTATATACATCGTTCGGTGGAGTAATGGATAGCGGCATGGATTGAGGAATCGGAGAGTCGAGTTCGAATTCTAGTTGAATCCATTACATTCACTTACGTGAAAATGGAAAGGTATGAATCCTCTTCTTCTCTCCCAGCTATGGGTAAATAGACCGGATTCTATAGCCTTGGATGGCAACTGGTTTACCGCAGAAAGAAATGGTAACCTTCTGCGGAAAAAAAATTCTGCCTCTTCAGTCATGTATCGAAAGATACAAATCATTTTAATCGTGTATCACACGGCATTTAATTTGACTGATATTTTTCGGGCTGTTTTCCAATCTTTTTCAAAATATTCACGACGTTTCGGCCGTTGTACGCTCCGGCCATCTTCAGGGTCTGTCTACATTTCTGAGATGAGGTATTGTAACTATTTGCAAACTTTACATCGTTCGGACTGTTTTCCACATCTTTACCGCCAGATTTACGACGTTTCGGTCGTTGTACGCTCCGGCCATCTTCAGGGTTTGTTTAATTTGAAAGATGAAATAAAAAATTTATTTTTTGAGAATGTTTTTAAAAATCTTTATTTGCCCAAATTTACATTTTAATTTTTTGTACGTAAAAATCTTTATCTGTAAACATTTCTGACGTTTTGTAAAATATTAGCGTTTTTTTTTTCGAACTGTTTTTTAAAAATCTTTACCGCCAATTTAAAACGTTTCAGCCGTTGGCTCGGCCTTCTAAAAGGATTTGTCTATATTTCTGAGATGAATTATTATTTACTGTTAAACATTGTTTGGACTGATTTTTCCTCGTCATTATTTCAAAACATTACGAGGTTTCGATCGTTAAATAACCCCAGCCTTTTTTCGGGTGAAATATCACTTTAGAATTTCCAACTGAAACCTTTATTTAGTCCACAGGGATAGATTGTTCTAATTCCACGTGCCATGCCCTTTTTGAATATATCAGTTTCAGTTCATTCTGTTTTGTAACTCAACTCTCCAAGTTTTTATTCCCTCTGCTGTGTTCAGGTATTGAACCCTTTTGGATTACTCAACCGACGCTGGGCCATGACACGTGGAAGTAGAACAATCTACCCCCGTGGAATAAATGAAAGTTTCGGTTTGAAATTCCAACGTATATCAACTGAAGAACGTCGAAGCGTACAACGGTCGAAGCGTCGTGGTTAGGACAATAAAGTTGAGGAGAACAGTCCGATCAATGTATCACGTATTAACGGGAGACGTTAAACACTTCTTACTTTCTTTGGAGCCAAGTAGCGTATCTGATATATCTTTTGACTTCATAGAATATTATTTATGCGGTATTGGCATGGCGTAACGATCGTGCGAACCAAGGAACTAACTGTTGTAGCATACCTAAGGACAATAATGTGTATGTCCTCCTTCACATAAATACAGTAGTAAATACTGTATGTTGGTTTACAGGTGGAGATTTGTCTCCAGCTGTGCTTGTCAAACTCTCTGCCTCTGGGCAGAGAGGATCCCCAGACGAGGCTACGTCGAAGGGAAGAGTCTCGTCTCTGGAAAAAGCTACCCAACTTTTATACGAGGTCTATGAGGAATTTTTGGCCGTGACTAAGGTGCTCGGATACCTCACATTAAATTCGGCCTTGTGCCACATCTGACCGCGTAGGGCCGTTGGTAGATATCCTGCAGTTGGAAATTTTTTTTGGAATTCACTTGACTCACTTCTTGCAGTTGACTACTTGTTCTACGCGCCGCTGGCGAATCTTATATGCGTTGTTCTTTTCCTAAGTATTATCGTTCATTACCAACCTTCGTGTGATTATTCTATTCAGTAATTTTCTCTCGGTTATAACACAAACAAAGAGAGGAACAAGCACAATTACTATATGATATTTTGTTTATTCGATCTCTTTTTTTTAATACCAGACTCTAAACTTTAAAAGCATTTGCAATGGCTTCTTGAAATATGACCACATTCAAACTTTAACTTTCAACATAAAGTGTTTAGATTTAGGATATCAATTTCATCAATATTTCTATAAAAAAACAAACAATGTTTAATTTACTAACTGCACAGGAACCATAAAAACAGAGAAATCCATGGAAATACCAAATGTATCCAATCAGATGAAAGGAAAGAAGCATATTATAGCATTCCAATGGCTACAAATCAAGCAATTTTATACCAATCAGTAGAAGCAGAGAAATACAAAATCAACCATTCAAAAGAAAAAAATAATAATAATAATAATAATAATAATAATAAAAAACAACCTATCAGTGGAAAATGTTTAAAAATATCAAACAATCAGTAAAAACAGCGTAAAATAATATCAACCAATCAATGAAAACAGTGTAATAAAATATTATCCAATCAGCAAAAAAAGAAATGTTGGGAAAAAAGCTAATATGAACAAATAAATATAAGCCAAAAATTAAATACCAATCAATGACATAAAATAGAAATAAAATAACCAATCAGATTCAAGTATCTTATTTATTTTATCTATATTTTAAAAGAATATGCAACATAATTTACTTAACAAATGCACAAAGATATCACGCAGTTATATCTGACTTTTCCACATCTGCAATACGCATTGAAAGTCAATTGCTTGTTTCAAGTGATGTCTATCTATCTATCTATCTATCTATCTATCTCAGTCGGTTCATTATCTATCTATCTATCTATCTATCTATCTATCTATCTATGTTTTTCTTTGTCTGTCTATTTATCCCTCTCTGTATATATCATTCTGTTCATTATCTATCTATCTATCTATCTATCTATCTATCTATCTATCTATCTATCTATCGAAAAGGTGTGCTGAAGATCTTTCGGCCGAGCCCAGAAGCCATTCCACCAATATTATGGTGTTTGATCATTCGGTAGGATAATGGGATGTCGGTAGGGGGTGGGGAGTTTTTCGGCACTCTCTTGCATCTATCTATCTATCTATCTATCTATCTATCTATCTATCTATCTATCTATCTATCTCGGTTTGTTCACATCTATCTCAACCTGTTCTAATCTATCAACGTGATGTGATGGTTAGCAAGCTTGTCTTGCGAGATCAGTTACGACTGAGTAGTGAGTTCGATCCTCTCTGAGTGTTCCATACTTTCGGTCTCAGTCCTGGGTATGAAGATAAACTACATCCGACGGCATGGCTGCTGATCGGGCGGTTTTGATGAGCGTGGAACCACCTTTTAATTGCTGATGTTCCCAGGTCCACCCTGACCAGGGGTGGTAGCACATTTCAGGGTCCCAGATATGGGCAAATAGTTAACACCCACTATAAAAGTGTAAAAATAGGTTTTAACACCAGCAATACATTTTTGGAAATAAATTATTACTAACAGTACGTTTTGGAAAAAATACCAGCAATACATTTTTGAAAAAGAAAATATTACCAGCAATAAAAAAATCTTGTCGGCATTAAATAACCCATTGAGATGTTGATATGCCGTAAAACAAAGCAAACCAAACAAATAAAGGATCGAATCAGTTTCTTGATGTAAAGATGAACATCCTTAAGAAAGGCGCCGTACTTGACTTAAAACCAAAAAATAATATGTTAAATTATAAAAATATTACCAGCAATCAAAACCTTTTCGGCATTAAATAACCCATTGAGATGTTGATATGCCTTAAAACAAACCAAACTAAAACACCAAACCAAATACAGTATGTCTTCAAAAATTCCTGTAGTTATTTAAAAGTTTCATATCGTGTTATGACAGATGTTTCATACGTGTTTATATTCGTTTCTTCAGAAATTAGATTTACTTAGGGAAATTGCTCATGGAATAATTCACAAAATGAACCAAAATCGTGGAATTTTAATTTCTTGAAGATGAAAATAGCAACGCAGTTCCTATCACTATTGTGCGGTATCAGATGATCGAGGCTTTTATGTGTCCAGCAGTGCTGAATAAACAAATATTCTTTCAGCAAAATGGAATCACTACAACCACGGTTCTGCCAACTCAAGCAAACCTTTTGTCAATGGTTAATTTCGCGAAATTACCAAATTTATGTCTGTCACGTTCCTAATCTGATGCCTCCCAATTATTTTCTCTGGGAATGCCATAACGAATGTATATACATCAATAAATCGCAAACAATTCAACAAATCAATGATAACATCTGTGCAGATATTCAAGGGATGAAGCCAGAGTTATAAACCACTATTATGGAGAAAGGTATTAAAAGATCGCTTCTATCTAATATCGAAATTGAAGGATGCTTACATCGTATCATTTTTCATAATTATTTTTAATCAATTCGCTCCAAGGAAAGCGATAATGCCATGAAGACTCAAGAGGCTACTGAGAATTCGATCCTAAACAGGAAACAAGGGATCAAACTCTACTCCCGTTTAAAAGGCTGAGGAGGAGAGTGAACCGGACGGCAGGCGAACCTATCTTCTCGTATTGAGGTAAAATGCATAAACAGTAAATAAAATTTCAAAGTTTAAGCGGAGACGTTATAAGTTGAAGTAGATTTTAGAAGGAACTAGGAACCCGATCCTAAACAGCAAGGAAGGAATAAACCTCTCCTTCTGCTCAAAAGCCTGGGGAGGAGTGTTGACCGGACGATAGGCGAAACTATCTACTAAGGTAATCTAAAAATAAAGTGGGGAGTTAGGGTTAGAATTAAAAAATACACTTGCGAGTGAGTCTTGATTAACGAATTAAATATCAGATCTTTAATTGGATAATCAAAACATACCCACAAGTCTATTGCTAATTCTAACTTTATAGCCCCCACCTTTAACTTTCTGAAAAGAGGTAACACTTTGTTTTTGAATTTGCTTAAAAATCATTTAATCGCCAGTTGCCATCACCTGAAGAAGTACAATCATAGTATTGAAACATGAAATCATTTGTGTAGCGATTTCAAAATGATTCTATTATAATCTCTTATAATAAAAATAAAAATAATAATATAACACACGTACGCACACAAACACACACAATATATATATATATATATATATATATATATATATATATATATATATATATATATATATATATATATTAATGACAAAAAATATCTCTATCTATAAAAGGCAGGATGTGTGTTTGTGTGTAACAAATCCACGGCCGCAATTTTCGACGGATTTGCACCAAAATTTACATGCACATGTTCCAAGTTAGCGGGAAAGCGAAGACCGACTTTGCATTTCCCAACTCCCATTGATAGTGGAAATAATCAATTTTTCATGCTTCTACGGCAGTTTTCATGTAGTTTGCAGCCATTTTGTACTGGCCAGAGTGAGAGCCAATAGCTGGCTGCCACGAATAGGCAGGAAGATTCTATTGGCCAGCGTGAGAGCCAACAGCTGACTGACACGAATGTTAACTAGCATGCTAGTAAAAAAAAAATCGATAGCTGCATTCGTCACAAGTGGGAAAAATTTAAATCTGCATGCATTTTACTCCAATTGGCTCATTCGTTTGCTTAAACTCAACGTTGATTCTGATTCCGCAGAACTGGGTTGAATGTGAAAAAGTATTTGTTGTTAACATTCTTTTTCATTCAGTTTTTTCCAGTTACGAGTCCTTTTTTAAAGTTGATCGTTTTGTGTTCATTTTGTTTAGTTCTTTTTTCGTAACAGATTTAATGTTTAGTATAGAGCTCAGAAAAAAATTCGCAGTGTGAGATAGGCAAGAATTTAAGGCATGTAGCAACATCAGCACGGCAAAGGGCACTCCTTTAAAAAGGCAAGGAAGGGCAAAAATATTTTAAATCAAGTGATAGCGATTGGTGTATGAGTCGTACGATTTTTGAATCAAGCACGGGCAACGCTGGGCCATGCTTCATTATATATAATATATATATATATATATATATATATATATATATATATATAGTAATGAATATTATGACAAGTGGAAAGAAGTTTTCGTGTGACGCGTTTTCGTCTTTTAGAACTTCAGTGGGGGACTGAAGTGAAGTTTACGTTGATGCGATTACACATGCGCCTGAAGGAGATATTTAATTTGAGAATTTATTTTAAATTTAATTATTTGTTTTTTATATAGTCTAGCCAATTTCATTTAGTTTTTTTTAAAAATCTATCTATCTATCTATCTATCTATCTATCTATCTATCTATCTCTATATATATATATATATATATATATATATATATATATATATGATATGTACATGTATATGTTTTTATATGGAAAAAGAAGCATACCAGGGTTTTTTTTTTTGTGAGTGTGGAGATGTACAATTAGATAGGTACCTATATGTTTTGCCATAAATATAAAAGAGCGGGTAATATTATATGTGTAAAGATATGGATAATGTAATTAAATACTGAGATAGTCATCGAACGCAGGCATAAGTGTGTGCACGGGTGGACATGAGGATAGGGATATATACATGTGTAGATATGTGTAAGTGCAAATTAACGCATATGTGTGTATGTAGATATGCTGCATATTACGTATATATATGCATGTGTGTGTGTGTGTGTATGTGTGTGTATGTATGCATATATGTGTGTATGTGTATATATGTATACATATATATGTGTGTGTGTAAATATATATATATGTATATATATGGATATGTGGATATACAAGTGTCCTTATGTGTATATGTATATATGTAAGTATAAGTGTATATGGAGATATGTATGGATATGCGTTTCTCTGCAGGTGTATAGGTGTAAATATGGAAATATACATATGGTTTTTTCGTGTGAATGTGTGTGCAGGTGTATATAGGAACTCATAGGCATATAAGAGAATATAGGTATGTGGAGATAAATAGGGGTTTAAGATATGTGTAGATAAAAGATTGTAAAAGAAGGACCTAATTTTCTGCTAGTGACATCTCATCCAAATCTCTCCTCTAATATTCTCCAATTGGAAGTGAGTTTTAAATAGCACGAAGGTAAAGTTTAAATTGGTATTTTAATTTAGATTGAAATATACTACCCCATTATTGATGATAAAATTATTTAAATGGGAATAACCGTTGATAATTGGGTACATAAAAACAATCACGAGTTTACTTAATAAACAAAAATCAAAAACAATCACGAGTTTACTTAATGAACAAAAATCAAACGAATAGATGTCAACCTAACAAGCAATAAGATAAAAGTTTTAGTAGAATAAAAAAGATTAATAAATATAAAATTGATTACTCTTTCAATGTACTGTCTATGAATTTTTCCAATCGACTGTTTCATAGAAAATACCCAAAACTCCATCGAATTTCAAATTAATTTCTTCCTAGATTGTTTAGACATTTAGATATTTATCAAACCTTAACCTCCCAAATATGCACGTTAAAGTAACGCAAATTAACAGCGTCTAAGAATTTGAATGAAACCTGTCGTGTAATTGATTGGGGTTGTTTTAACTTCTTCCTTTAATGTCTTAAATCATTCACCCTTTTATATCCAGAGACGAGACGCGTTAAATTTGAGCAACATCCAGCCGACACACTGGGGTTAAAAATAGGAAATTAAAATGATACATATGACACACTCATATCCTCTCTCCTCACTTCCTCACTTCGTTAATTTTACGTATACTTGATGAGGTCCGTCAAAAACGTGTGAATTATTTTTTTCATTTTCATTTCAGCTTTTTGGAAGTAAAGTCTGATGATCCAGAACCCTGTTAAAGGGGTTATGGTGAAATAGCTTATTACATGGAATCTTAACGTGGTCTGTTTTTTTTATTCAAACATATCTATATATATTTTACATTGAGCTCTCTGGATATCATCCTCCTCAGGTCTATATACGGATTACCTAAGAAAATAAACTATATATATATATATATATATATATATATATATATATATATATATATATATATATATATATATATATATATATATATATTTATTTTCATTTTTTTTTGTTTTTTATTAAGACACGTCGCATTTTGAATAATTTAGACAGGTTTTTTTTAAATTTGCTTATTTTAAAAAGGATCCGTTTGTTCATATTCTAAACATTATTTCTTTGTCGTATCAGAAAAATATTTTAAA